TATCCTAACTAGAGAGTTGGGCCAACTTTCAAAGATGTAAGTACAAAAATGTTAATCATCCCAAATTACACTGGGCCCACTGAACTAAATTGGAAATGAAAATTGAAAATAACCTAAATGTATGATATATATACATTATAATATAGCAAATCAATAAACTACTAAGCAATCATAAAGGGATAAGGAAAGATACCTACAATTATGAAAAAAACAGGTTGCAAACGATCATACATAATAAACTATTATGTACATATATTGGCTTGTAAATGCACAGAGAAAAGTCTGGAGAGAGGTATGCTGAAATATTTCTTTTAAATGGTGATTTCACAGTGGCGAGACTGATACAACTTCTGCTTTCTTTCTTGTACCTTTCTACATTTGGTTTTTCTAAAACTAACTTTCATTAGCTTTATAAGCAACAACAACGGAGTGGAGCATTTCTTTTCTTCTGTACTGTACAATCCTTCCAAAAGTCTCAGAATCGGAGATGCATCAATGACTCTCAAGGCAATAGAAAGACATTGCCATTATTCTTCTCAATGAGAGCGTGCACTATGTTAGGGCTCAGGTGTTTGTCACCTGCAGGCTTCCTACGGCTTTGCAATGTTATTCTTTCCTTCACGCTTGCAGATGAACCCTTTGCACCTCCTAATAGCTACTCCATTTAATTCAACTGATGATAAAGGCAGACTTAGAGTTCCTCACACTCACAAAGTCACACTACACAGACAGCATTTTACACATGGGAGTTGTCTAGAAGCTCTATCACAGTGTATGATCAGAAGACATTTCCTGTCCACAGTTACCACACAGCTTTTTGATGAGTGTCATATGCTGCTGGGTCAACTTGCTCTGCGACTTTCTCTGTTTCTGACCTTCTTCATAGTGTCTTCATTACTAGATATTTAACTTCATGAAAGCGCTGAGGTTAGTGTATTGCCATTTTAATGCAGCAGAGAAGAAGGGGGAACTGCATATCAGAGTCCACTGCCAAGCCTTCAGACCCCCTCATCCAAGGTGATTAACTGAAATATATTTCAGTGAAGCTGGGGACATAGGTAAGAGAGGGAACGTAATAACATATTAGCAGTTTGGCCCTAGGCAAGTTATTAAATAAGAGGCTACAGTTTATTTTCTCACAAAATAGTGATCATGTCCCCTACTGCAAAGGACTTTGCAAAGGACAAATAAGATAATGCATGTCCATGCTTAGCGAAATGTTTGCTTCATAGAAAACACCCACGTGGGAACTTTTTCTGTGTCTGGGAAGACAGGCAGGCTAACACTTGTGTCGTAATAGTAATTCTGGCTTTGTTTGCAAAGGGTTGTATCTTGATGCATGAATTGGTTAATGTGACCTCTTCAGAGAAAACTTTCCTGTACCCAGTGGAAAGCAGCCCCTCTGTCTCTCTCTGTCATGTGACTGTTCCATTTTCATCATGTTTTCTCCTTTTACTGGAATGGAACTTCAGGAGGGCAGAAACACAGCCAGTAGTATTTAACACTGTATTACCAATGCTTAGGACTCACATGGAACATAATAAGTGCTCAATATATGCTTGTTGAATGAATGAACTTATTCTCCTAAAGTCTCAGCTTATTCTCCTAAAGTCTCAGCTCCAATATCCAGTTCACTTTTTGCTCTCAGCTCTGCAGTGCCCTCACGATAGTCCGATCCTCATAATTATCACATGCGTCACACTGTCCGTTTCCTTTTTTATTTTCCCCACTAAACACTGAGCTGAGTTGAAGGCATCAACTGAGTGTCCAGCACACTGTCTGACATATGAGAGATTTCAAATAATTATTGAACAACTAGAATTTAACACTGCATACTTATCTGCATGATAATAAGTTTTTTAACAAGGCTCTAGGAGGAGGTAGCTACAGGGGTCACTTGACCTGAGCCTTAAGCCTGAGGGTGAATGAAATTTTGCTTGCCTTTCAGTGACATGCCTAGGGATGCAGGTGAGACCTGATCATGCGGAGGGGCTTAACAAGTATTGCCTTTCCACTTGATTTATTATTATTATTTTTTAGCATTTCTCAGTGATCTTTGCTTTAGATGAATATGCAAGCTGGGTTGATGCCCCACAGAACAGTTGAGAATAAATATCAAGTTTCAAAGAGAATCCCTATAGGCTGGGTGCAGTGGCTCATGCCTGTAATCCCAGCACTTTGGAAGACTGAGGTGGGTGGATCTCTTGAGCCCAGGAGCTTGAAATCAGCCTGGGCAACATAGCAAGATCCCATGTCTACAAAAAATTTAAAAATTAGCCAGACATGGTAGTGTGCACCAGCAGTCCCAGATACTCAGAAGGGCTGAGAGGATAATCTCTTGAACCCAGAAGGTCAAGGTTGTAGTGAGCCATGATTATGCACTCTAGCCTGGGAGTTGGGGTGAGATCTGTCTAAAGAAAAGAGAGAAAGAGAGAAAGAAAGAAAGAACAAAAGAAAGAAAAGAAAGGAAGAAAGAAAGAAAGAAAAAGGAAGGAAAGGAAGGAAGGAAGGAGGTAGGGAGGGAAGGCAGGCAGGCAGGCAGGCAGGCGGATGGGCGAATCCCAATATTGACCATGTAGACTGAGATCCTGGCCAGTCTGTCCTTGCGTCTTCTTCTGTTTTCCCTTTTCACTGCTTGCGCCATCACAGCTAGCTCTTCACCATCTCCCATCCAGAGGCACAACGGTTTCTGTTGCCATCATTTCCCAGCTTCAGTGTGTTCACATCACATTGAAGTGCCTACATTCGCTAGTGTTGTCACTTCCCCGCCCAAAAACCATCCATGTTTCCCCATTAGCTATAGAACCATTCTTTCAAAACTCCATGATCTTATTCCATCCTCCTTCTCCAAAAGCTGGTTTCTAAACTACATTTTAGAAACCCTATATGTACATACTTCAAAGTATCCAACTTCTAGACCCCTGTTCCCCCCTCCCCTTCCTAAAACGCCTTCCATCCCATTTCCATGTAACCAGATATTACCCACTCTTTATCTATTTGCTTATTTATTTTATTTTGAGATGGAAAGTCTCTCTCTGTCTCCTAGGCTGGATAGCAGTGGTACCATCTCAGCTCACCGCTCCCTCTGCCTCCCAGGTTCAAGTGATTCTCGTGCCTCAACCTCCTGAGTAGCTGTGATACAGGTACCCCCACCACGCCCAGCTAATCTTTGTATTTTTAGTAGAGATGAAGGTTTCATTACATTGGCCAGGCTGGACCCGAACTACTGACCTCAGTGATCTGCCCACCTCAGCCTCCCAAAGTGCTAGGATTATAGGCGTGAGCCACCGCACCTAGCCTATATATGTTTTTCTTTAAATGGTACTGTGGATGTAGGTATGAGAGAGATAGCCTGTCTCTCCAGTATCATTTAAAGGAAGAAGTATGTCCCAATGTATTCTATTAGTAACGACAATCACTTTTGTCTATAATCAGACTTCTGAGCCTACTCCATGGCCCATTTGTACACTTCTTTGTAAAATCCAGTTTTAGCAAAGAATCCTACTAAGTCAGTTTGGCAAGGACACCTCACCCTAGGTATCTGATCACTGTCAGATTCTGATGAGATTCCTCATCCTCCACCATCCCCCAGGCAACATCTGACCACCCTGGCCTGTCTTCAGCTACAATTCTGTTAGGCTGGCTTAGCCAGAATCCCCTTCACCCCTGATGTTTCCTCTGAGTAATTTTCTAGCCACTGACCCCTCACTACTCCTTGGCCGTCAATTCCCACTTGTCTGTGCTGTATTTAGAGTTGAGTCCAATCTCTCTTCTGCACTGCAAGAGTTCCTTGCAGTGGTCCCTGTACCTATTGTGATGATCCTGAGTAAAGTCCTCCCAACTATGACTTCACAAATGACATAGAGTAATTTTTTTCTTTAACAAGAAACACTGGGGTTTCAATTTCTGTTACAGGTATAATAACAGGTTCAGTGGTCCCTACTTTACAAAGAGGTAATTACATAAAGATAGGAGGTTTCTAGTGATTTCTGTTCAGATTTCTCTTCAGGATTGCTTTCTAAACTGGGCATAAGCAAGTTCCTTCCACTGGGTCTCTTTGATACTGTGATCTGGAATTTCTTTTTTCTTTTTTTGAGACAGGGTCTCGCTCTGTTGCCCAGGCTGGAGTGCAGTGGTGCAATCTCGGCTCACTGCAGCCTCTGTCTCCTGGGTTCAAGAGATTCTCCTGCCTCGGCCTCTCAAGTAGCCGCTATTACAGGCACACACCACCACACCAAGTTAATTTTTGTATTTTTGGTAGAGACAGGGTTTCACCATGTTGGCCAGGCTAGTCTCGAACTCCTGACCTCAAGTGATCCCCCTGCCTCAGCCTCCCAAAGTGGTGGGACTACAGGCATGAGCCACCACACCCGGCCTGGAATTTCATATTTAACTTAGACTCTGGAAATTCCAAATGAGTTTTAACACGAACAAATTATTTGAGAAACCAAGGTCTCTGTTTCTTTACCTACAAAATGGTGACTGCCTACGCTTGCCTTGATAGACTACAAGAATGAAAGAAAATGACGAATATTGAAGTCCTTTACAAATCTAACAAAATGTGAAATATTCTTAGGATTTATAGTTTAAGTATTGCAAGTTGATGCTGCAGAATAAGTAGTCTTTCAGATTCAATTTTCTTAAAAAACCCCTAGCCATTTCCATACCAAATAAACAGATCTTTGGAGAACAGGACCTCTGACATTTGTACCTTCTCTCCATTCCCCTGTACCCCTATTCTTCCTGCAGCCCTTCCCTTCCCCACCACCATATCTCTCCTGCTGCTGCAGAGTCTGCTGTAGGCATTTACACCAGGGAGAGCAAGGCAGATGGGGCAGCATGGACAGACACAAGCCTCTCCTGGCACTGTCCATTATTTCTCACTCTATGCATTTTGACTGCAAAGTCAGAGTGAAATACTGAGGGACATGTATTCCTTTACTGTGACTTTGCCACATTCAAAGCACGATGTCACATGTATGCAAGATGAGGCTACTCACGAGACACAGAGGCACAGGACTCCTGGTATCGACTCGCTGTCTCTTAACAGAAAGTTGCCATCCACCCCTTCCTTGAGCAGTAAGGTTTCACAATCTCGCTTGGTCAGAGGGCCGTGGTAGTAAGGAAGATCCATGGAGAACGCTCTTGTATCCCAGGCAGCCCTGTTGGCCTGAAATTCACCCCCAAGTCAAGGGATAGCTCTGAGGAGGGATGTGGAAGCAGTTGTGCCTCCTGTGGAAATATCTCTTTCTCTAGTGGTCTGTGAGACTCAGCCAGCTTCATGAGATTCAGGAAATGAGAAGGGCGGGGTGATAAAATGACCAACACATTTTACCCTCTACATGGCCCATGTGACTCACAGAAATGGGTAAAGCACATTTAAATACACAGTGGAATCAGTGAAGCTCGTGGCTAGGGAGCTGTGAAGCTTGACTTCAATGCTGAAGTCAAGCTCTCTGGAACTGTGTTGCAGCCTGTATATTACTATATACTATCATCACCTTCTCTGTCTGCTGGGATCCTTTCTAGGAAGCACACCATTGCTTTTGCAGTATTGGTACCCATTCTCTGCTGAAGTTGCATAGGACTGGGCTATGCTTAGCTTAGACTTGGTGCTCAAAAAGCATTTGGATGCTGAGAGAATTGATATGCTCAGATACAACGGGAAAATTGAAAGGGTGGCATTTCCATGGATCAAAGGACACTAAAAATGGAAGATATTAATGGGAATAGAAAACGGTGGGACATTGTGAATGAAGACAGCCCATTCCATGACTAAGGCTCCTAGCCACTGGCAAATAAAAAGCCATTTTGAACACCCTCAAGCATTGTACCTTTTGGAGAAAGGGCTGGTGCAGGTGGGAGGGATAACTGGTATACTCAAATAGCTACAGGAAATCCCTATATATCTCAAAAATGAATCTATGTAAATAAAACTAAAACAGAAAAGATGAGTTCATGACTCATCTTTACTTCACTTCTTTTTTTTTTTCCTTCATCTCCATAGATGCCTGGAATCTTAACTTCTTCTTAACCCAGATGTTTGTTTCATCTTGCTACTTTGCTTACCAGCTGTTCCTCACACTTGGGGTGTATCTTTCCTCGAACTTCTTTGTCACAGATCTTTGTTCTTCCTTGGAATTCCCACTCTTTGCTGTTTGGCATAGTGTAGTTTCACCGATCAAGGAACTTGTTATCAGAGAGATAGGTTCTCAAATACCAAGTTTTCTTCTGTGGCTTTGGACAATTCATTATTCAATTCCCTGGGAACTCTGGCAGTTGAAGACAGAGCAATTAATGATGGAAGAAGAAATTTGGTAATTCTTGGGAATACATTCATAATCGTGGTGTGAAGATGCTTTCTGACATAAGACAGAAAATAACTGAAAGCATGCTCAGGCTCTTGGTCATCACAGGGGCTTGCTAGCCCTTTTTCCTGTTTCAAAATTCCATCCTCACAATAAAAGAAATGCAAATTAAATCTATGCTGAGATAACATCTCTTACCTATCATATTGGTGAAAATCAAAAATTTGAAAACTTATTGGATTGGTGATGGTGAAAGAAAATAGAACATCTCGTATTTTGGTTAGGATACAAAATAGTTACAGCTATAGTAAAAGATGGTTTGGCAATATCTTGCAAATTTGTGTATGCCTTCACCATCTGATAGAACAATCTCAATCTAGAAATTTATCACAAAACTACACAGGCATGATTAGAAAATGACTTGTGAATAAGGTAGTATTTTTAATTGAAAAATATTCCAAACAACTCAAAGACTTGCAAGTAGAGGGATAAGTGAATAAACTGCGATTCATGTATTTAATGGAATATTACTATAGAATGATAAAATGGGATGAGGAAGATCTCTATCTGCTGATGTGCAATAATCTTCATGATGTATTTTTATGTGAAAGCAGCAAGGTGTACAATAGTATATAGAGTATGAGGGATATAAATAAATATATACATTTATATATTGCTCATATATAAACAAACAAATGAAAAACAAAACCCACTGGAAGAACAAAACTAAAACTAATTAAAAAAAAAAAAAAACTTCTGCCTCTAAGCAAAGGGAGGAAACATGCATAGAGGTGAGACTTCTTTAAGTAAAACTTGCTGTATAGGGTTTTGTTTCTTTGTTTATTGAGACCAAGTCTCGCTCTGTTACTCAGTCTGGAGTGCAGTGGTGTGATCTCATCTCACTGCAACCTCAACCTCCCCAGTTCAAGTGATTCTCCCACCTCAGCCTCCCAAGTAGCTGGAACTACAGGCATGTGCCACAATGCCTAGCTAATTTTTATGTTTTTAGTAGAGATGGGATTTCACCATGTGGCCCAGGTTGGTCTCAAATTCCTGACCTCAAGTGATCCTCCCGCCTCAGCCTCACAAAGTGCTGGAATTACGGATCTGAGCCAACACATGTAGCCTGCTGTAGAGTTTTGAATGTAGAATCATGTAATTGCTTTACATATTGAAACTAAATAAGTAAAAGGGTACACCTAAAAGGGGGAAAAACTCTATATCTAACTGAACATTACTTTTGTGATATAATCATACAGAAAATTATTTCAACTGACTTTAGAATGTAGAATTTGAGTGAACAGTTTTAATTAAATATCTTGTACATTAAATAGACAGTAAATAAATTTAGTAATAATTTGGTGTGATTTAAATATGTTTAACACATATTGTAAGATAAATAAAATTCATATCAATATTAACATTTTAAGAACCAAGTGAGATAAACAACTATTCCAATTTGCTTATGCCTGAGGGGTTTCCCAGTATGTAGGACTTTCAGTATTAAAAACAGAACAGTCCTGGGAAAAGAGGTTTAATTGGTTCGCAGTCCACAGGCTATGCTGGAATTATGGAAGCATCTGCTTTTAGGGAGGCCTCAGAAGGTTTACTCATGGTGAAAGGCAAAGAGGAAGCAGGACTGAGATGGATGAGGTGCCACACACTTGTAAACAGCCAGATTTCACAATAACTCACCATCACGAGAACAGCACGGAGGGGATGGTGCTAAACCATTCATGAGAACTCTGCCCTTGTGATCCAGTCACCTCCCACCAGGCCCCACCTCCAGCAATTCAATCTGAGATTTGGTGAGGACACAGATCCAGACCAAATCACCATCAGATGGCCTGGATTTGAAATCCTATTTCACCACTCAGTAATGAGTGCAAACTGCCTCGATTTTTGTGCCTTTGTTTTTCAGAAAATGGAGAAGATAATGACAATGACCACATAGGGCTGTAGAGAGGATTGTGTAAGAATACAGACACAATGCAGCTGGCACTTGGTTAGTGCTTGTTTTTCTGTTCTTGTTCATGTATGAGAGGTTCCACACAAGATGGTCCCTCTTCTGTCTGGATGGTGATATGTCTGCATGGGAGGCTTGGAACTTTGGCAATCCTTCTGGGGCCACGAGAGTGTCACCCCAAGGGCCAGCCTGTCAGCTGAGAAGGGAAAGGTAGAGAGAAAGAATCTAGGTCCTTGACAATGGCACTAGAAGACCATTCCTCTTCTTGATTTCCAATTGGATGGGAAATAAATTTCCTCACTGTTCAAACTACTTGAATTGGGGCTCATTTTTTTTTCAGTGAAAAGATTCTAATGAGTACACTGGCATATGCAATTGAATTTTTTATTAGTTCAAATGTTATCTTCATTGATATTTTGGATATAATCACTCACTACTAACATTGTGTTTATAACATCAAACATTGTGTAGAAGAGTACACAATGAGTTTTATAACATCAAAGATCCAATATCTACTATTATATTCTCCTCTTAAATAGCTCAGAAGTTTACCTGCATGTCACAAATATGCTCTTATTTATTTAACACCAAGTTATTATTTTCTCTTTTTTTTGACAAAGGTACAAGCTATTATTTTCAATAACTGTATTAGTTATTGAAATAATTATTATATAACTAATACAGTTATTGAAAATAATATCCAATTATAATATTGGATGTTTCCAATGTGGATGTTGACACCCACACTGTCCAGTTTATATTGGAAACCACTGAAGGTTTCCACAATAATGTTGAACTTGGACTACTTGTTGATCTCCTCCTACATTGAACTAGCAGCTTTCTCTTTTTGAGACAGGGTCTTGCTGTGTCACCCAGGCTGGAGTACAGTGGCACCATCTTGGCTCATTGCAACCTCCATCTCCTGGGCTCAAGCAATTCTCCCGCCTCAGCCTCCCAAGTAGCTGAGATTATAGGTGTGCACCATCTCACCTGGCTAATTTTTGTATTTTTAGTAGAGATGAGGTTTCTCCATCCTGGCTAGGATAGTCTTGAACTCTGACCTCAAGTGATCTGCCCGTCTCGACCTCCCAAAGTGCTGGGATTACAGGCATGAGTCACTGCGCCCAGCCTTGGACTAGCAGCTTTCTGAAAGTCACTCTACCACAGATATATTATGTCTCATTTTTCCCCTCATCATTTCTCAAATAAAATTTTAAAAGCCATGCTAAAACTGAATTCATTAAATAAAATAATAGCTTTGTGTTAAATTAATAAGAGCATACTTGTGACATGCAGGTAAACTTCTAAGCTCTTTAACAGATGAATACAGAGGTGAATATCTATCTAACAGCTTGAACTACTTAATATACTAGAAAAAAAGGTTTTACATGCATCATTTTAGTTTAAAAATAAAATGCTCAGAAGAAAGCAAAGTAATAATTTTCTTTTTTTTTTTGAGACGGAGTCTCGCTCTGTCGCCAGGCTGGAGTGCAGTGGTGCAATCTCGGCTCACTGCAACCTCCGGTTCCTGGGTTCAAGCAATTCTCCTGCCTCAGCCTTCTGAGTAGCTGGGACTTCAGGCACATGCCGCCAAGCCCAGCTAAAATTTTTAGTAGAGACAGGGATCACCATGTTGGCCAGGATGGGCTCGATCTTTTGACCTCATGATCTGCCCGCCTCGGCCTCCCAAAGTGCTGGGATTACAGGTGTGAACCACTGCGCCCGGCCAAGAGTAATTTTAAAATCCCCGAAGAGTACAAAATAAAAATCTCAAAAGGAGCTGAGATACTCCAATCAAATATTAAAAGTCAACTTGGTGAGTACTGTGTGAATTTTAGAAGATGTGATTAGGAAGTTTGTTCATTAGGAATATATACATTTTGTACCTTTCTTCCCCATACAATTTGGTTTAGGTGAACAAGTTAAGTGTCCTTGGAAGAAGAAACTGAGTTTAACCCTGAATACTTGACCTGTAAGGCT